CGCGCCGCGGCCGCTGCCCCGCGCAGAGATTATTCATCAAAACAAGAGCGCAGCGGCGGCCATCTTGGGGCGGGAATCACGTGAGGCCGCCGACGCAGCCGGGCATGCCGGGCCCGCGCGCAGCCGGACCAATGGTCGAGCTGGAGGGGCGGGGCCGGGCGCGAGAGTCGTGGCGGCGCGGGAGCGGCGGGGAGGGGCGGGGGGACGATCCTCCGCCCCCACCCCCCGCAGGCGCCATGGTAACGGGGGCGGCGCGCAGAAGGGAAGGCACGAGGAGGAGGAGCCCAGAGGGGGCGGGGAACAGCCCTAAAGGGCGGGGCGCGGCCTTGAGGGGCGGGGCGCGGCCTTGAGGGGCGGGGCGCGGCCTTGAGGGGCGGGGCTATTTTGTGCGGCCTCCGTGGGCCTCTGTGTGCATCTGGGCCTCTGTGTGCATCTGGGCCTCTGTGTGCATCTGGGCCTCTGCGCCCTGCGGGCTTACGAGCGCCCTCCCCGGGCCTCCATGCGCAGCTGGACCCCGGGCCCTCTGGCCTTACGTGCACCCTCCCCRGGCCTCTGTGTGCARCTGGATCCCCGCGCCCTCCACGCATTCGTGCGCCCTCCCCGGGCCTCCATGCGCAGCTTGCCATGAAAACCAGCCAATGACATCCCTAAGCAAGCTGAAATCCACTCTCCTGAAGTCCAAATCTGTGATTTTTTTTTCTTGCTCACTTCTTTTCAGTATTTTTAACTCCATCATCTCATGTTCACTGCAGCTAAGTGCTGTGGTCATTAATTCAGGACATGAAACTCATGCCTTCCTGTTTTGTGGTCATCTGTGGAGGCTCCTCCCTGATGCCCTGTGGYTCCACACAGCTAACACTTCCACACAAAATACGATGTGAGACCACCATTACAGACAACGTGATCCTGCAGGTCCTCATCCTACCGGAAACCTCAAATCTACTTGGGTCAATTSCCTGTGGAAAATGGGAGTGGAATGGGAGTTACCTTCACTCTTCAGAAGAAGGTGACATTCCCAAGTTCCCCACTGCTTCTATAACTCTGGCTGCAGAGAAGAAATTACATGTGAAGAATCACATTGATTTTGCACCTGAGATGTCTTCTTTCTCCCTGCCCACAGAAGAGTCTTTGGAAGGTCTCCAAACTTCCTRCTAGCAGGAAGCTCTCCTACAAATACCCCTGTTCCTCGACCACCTCCTGACTTCCTCACCCTCTGGCCAGCTGTCTTAAACAGGCCAACCTTCCTGGCACCCTTCTCCACCACTGGATATTGTCATCCCTTCTCCGCTTCCTGCCCTGCTTCTGTTTTGAGTTTGTTCCTCAAATTCTGGTGCCTCCGGGTACCAGTGATGACCCCCCCAGGTTTGGTGTGAGAACGTGGGCAGCTGAGCACACATCTCCCTTTGCTTTACTTGCTGGATCCTTCTCTTTGTCCTCATGGCCAAGATAAGAGCGTAGAGTGTCACATGCAGGCTTGACGGGGAGTCAAGCAGCCCTTATAGATGCTCTCTCTGGAGGAAATCAGTGGTGAGAAGGGTCTTTGCCCTTAGATGTCCTAAGGTCTTTGCCCTTAGATGTCCTGCTGGGGCCCAGACGGCCTTTGTGGCTCAAACCTCACAACTGGGCCATTTGCAGGCCCAATTTCCTAAGCCTTTTTCTTGCCACTGCAGTGGGAGAAGCTGGGAATTTCAAAGGCAGGGAATGACGAAGGATTGCCTGTTGTCTCCAGCATCAGAAGCCTGTCCTGGCCCTTCACAAACTGCAGCAATAACCCCAGCCTGGACTCCAACCACAGCTTCAATTTGGACTATACTCAGGAATATATGGAGAGCTGTAAAGCGGATTTGGACTTCTCTTTGGGAATCTTGACAGGATTTTTAGATCRCTTTGCCACTACTTGACAAACACTGTGAGTTTCAATGTTTATCTATCAAGGAGATACCTGAACTTTACTTAAAGTTCTGCAGGTCCTTTGTATCTCTAAGGAAATCTTCTTTTCCCCAAAGGTTTTGTGTAGGATGAGTTGAAATAATTAATGCTTCACAGCCAAAGTTTTTCAGGGTTTAAGAGGCTCTGAAGGCGCAGTGTTGTTCCTTGGATATATGTCTTTGTTCTGAAATAGAATGTCCTGGAGAAAAAGAGGTTTGACTGGAGGACTTTCCGTAGGCACTGTTCCGAAATAGCTATGTCTCTTCCTCCTATCCCTATGATGTGTATTATGTGGCATAAAAATTTTTAGGAATGATGTTTTCTTGTCAAGTGCAAGTGAATTCTTTCCTTTTTTTTTTTTATTCTTTTCTCTCTCATTTTTTTTAATTGCTGTTAGCTACAGAGCTACTGGGAATTTATGGAAATAATCTCAGTCCTAGAAAATGAAAAGTATGTAATTATCATACTGTAATTGTTTGAGAAAGAATTCCTTTTTTTTTTTCTCCAGATAAGTCAGTTTTCCAAGAAATTTAGACTGTTCATAGGTGTGAAATTAGTTTGCCTGGGAAAGGAAAGAAGAGCACATGAAGAGATTCACTAAGTCAGTTATTAGAAAGGGGCCCCTGTCCCCAAGCTGGGTGGGAGAAGATGGAGTCATTTAAAGAAGGTACTTGGATATGGGAGAGCATAGTTTCTAGTCCAAATGTGACTCCTTGTATAAATATATTTATTCCTCATTAGGTATATATAACAGGATAGCCCCCCAAATTTTGTTCCCTATCAATTATAGGAGAAATGAGTGAGCAGTGAACAGAACTTAGGTGTGAGTTAAACGTTCTCTKTGTTTCATTTAGAACTGCTTGACAGCAACAGTGAGGATGAAGATGCTCAGGGTAACAAAGCGTAGGGGATGCTCCATTTCACAGRGTAATGACTGCGTTTATTTTCTGTACAGTTTGTCTTCTGAGCACAGAAATATTCCTTATAGAAAGCACAAAGTCTATAGGAAATCCACGATCTGCAAGGCAGGCTTATGCTAACCCTATGTATGTAAAGAATGAGGTTCTTTTGATCTATATCCAACCATTTTTGGAGTGTCTCTTCCTCCCTCATTATCCAGCTGTCCTCTGCAGACAGCGGAGAGAAACACACCTCTGTTAACGAATTAATTCTTTCTTGGAGATACAGCCCCAGCTGGACGGGAGGTCGGAGCCTGCATTATTTCTCTCCCTGGGCTCACACCTCTTGGAGGACAGAGCTTATACCAATGCCCTTCAAAGGTGACAGGCACAGGCAGTACTGCCAAACGTCGTTTGGTGYTTCTAACATCCTTAGACATGCAGATGGTCTCCCAGGTTTAAAGCTAAGAATTTCCCAGGGTTGAGGATAGGAAGCTATTTTTTAATAAAGTGACTGGAAGGGAATTGCCAAGATTTCAGAGCTCTGGTTTGATTAAGATAGATGTTAGAAACAACTAATACAATCTTCCATGGATATATTTAGATGGATGGATGGATGGATGGATGGATGGATGGATGGATGGATGGATGGGTGGATAGATAGATAGGGAGGCAGGCTGCCCAGGGAGGGTGTGGAGTCTCCTACTCTGGAGGTCTTCAAAATCCGCCTGGATTCCACCCTGTGCCACATGCTGTAGGTGTGCCTGCTTGAGCAGGAAGGTTGGACTAGATGATCTCTAGAGGTCCCTTCCAACCTTAAATATTCTGTGAATCTGTGAATCTATAGATAGATAGATAGATAGATATGTTGCAGAACTGTCCTGAGTAGAAGCAAAGCATGGGAAACCAAACTTTTGTGACTGAATTTATTCTTCTGGGTTTCCCCAGCATGCAAAATGTTCGTGTTTTGCTCTTTGTGACTGTCTTGGTCATGTATCTTTTGACTGTCACTGGCAATGTGATCATCATCGCCACAGTGGTGACTGACTCCACTCTCCACAAACCCATGTATTTCTTCCTCGGAAACCTCTCATTCCTGGGAATCCTCTTTGTCTCCGCTATCATCCCCAAACTCTTGGCCAATCTCTTGGAAGCCAAGAAGTCCATCAGCATAGCCRGCTGCAAAGCTCAGTCCTTCACCTATTTTTTCCTGGGGGTCACTGAGGTTTTCCTGCTCACCGCCATGGCCTTTGACCGCTACCTGSCCATATGCAGCCCTCTGCATTACAGCACCATCATGAGCAGCAGCCTGTGTGCTCAGTTGTCTTTGGCCTCTTGGGTCGGCGGCTTCCTGACGGTGTGCGTGCAGACCGTTCCGGTGTTCCGGCTGCCCTTCTGCGGCCCCAATGTCATCAACCACTTCTACTGCGACGTTGAGCCCCTCTTGCAGTTGGCCTGCGCTGACACGCGCTCTCTGGAGAGGTTCATCTTCATAGCTGCTGTCATGCTTCTGTTCAGCACTTCCATTTTGACCATCATCTCCTACTCCTTCATCATCTTCACCATACTGCGGATCCCATCTGCTACGGGCAGGCAGAAGGCTTTCTCCACCTGCACTGCACATCTCTTGGTGCTTCTTTTGCTCTACGGAGCGGTCATATTCATTTATGCCAGGCCCAGCGGGCGAGCCTAACTGAACGTGAACAAGGTGGTGTCCCTTCTCAACACCCTGGTCACACCACTGCTCAACCCTTTCATCTACACCTTGAGGAACAAGGAGGTAAAGACTGCCCTGAAAAGGGCAGTTCTTAGAAATAAAGTTCTGGTAAAAAAGGGAGGGCAAAAATACTTTTTTTGATGCTCTGGCAAGAAAACGATCTCCTGAACCATTCTGGGATGCAGTTTTACCAGTAAATAGCGAGCAGAAAGAAGCAATTCCTATGAAGCATTCCCCAATGCTTTGTGACAGCATTTTAATTGCTTGTTAAATTGCTTGTTTTTCTGATGGTCTCTTTGGGGATGGAGCCTTTTGAGAAGTCTTCTGTGAAGTCTTTTGCACTATTCCAGTATTTTCATCATCAACAGGCTGCCCAGGGAGGYTGTGGAGTCTCCTTCTCTGGAGGTCTCCAAAACCCACCTGGATGCCACCCTGTGCCACATGCTCTAGGTGTGCCTGCTTGAGCGGGAAGGTTGGACTAGATGATCTCTAGAGGTCCCTTCCAACCTTGAATATTCCGTGATTCTGTGATCATACAGTAATACAAAAGCTAGGACTGAAAAAGCTACCTGTCATGTGGGGTGTCTTTATTTCCCTCTGTACAACAGAGACGACTTGTAATTGCTGTAGTTGTTCTGAAGTCTGCAGGTTGGGGTTTAGTCTGTGTATGTGTTCTATCTTTGCTGATGTTGAAGGATTAAAATCAATATAAATTGGTTTGCATTGTCCTCATCTTTATTTTGGTGTCGTATCATTTTTGATTGGTGTACTATATTTCCTTTCAATGGTGAAGATCCTAAAGCTTAGTATTGGTTCTTTCATCACCTAGACCGCTGCCCTGTGTCATTTAGGACTTACGATTTTTGTAAAATACTGAGTGTTTGAGTATAACACACATTTAARCTTACAATAATCTCATCTAAATGGTTGCTGTATTTGCATTTATGTGCATTCTCTTTGTCTTGACAGGCATTCCATGAAAAACTCAGCTGAGGCGCTGAGTGGCAAAATGAAAAAAATCTTAGCCAAGTATTTTAAGTGTTTTTAGGAAGTAATTTGCCCTTCACCTCCCGAGTAACTCAGAATTACATTTTGAAGCCAAATCAGAAAATCCTTCACAAGTCAAGGCCAGAGTCTCTACACCTCCATAATGCACCTGAAACATTTCTCTTCTTGGGAGCCTCCCTATCAAGAGGCAACAGTCATAAAAGGTCACTGAAACGGCCTGTCTTTACAGGTCTTTGTTTTCAGGCAGAAATGTGCAAAACTAAACGGAATTTGKCTTTCCCTGCATGCAGAGGGTGGAGGTGGCCTTCCTCGTGGGGACKCTGGGAATGATGCCCGTCCTGATGCGCAGTGGGAAGACCACAGCCATAGCTCCTGTTGCATCCCGAACCTTGCTCCCCATGCCCATGCGTTTCTTCCTTTGGAATCTCCCTGTAATCAGCCTCTTGGGAGGTTGGTGCCTGTYGGCCGCAGTCCCCAAGCAGCTTGTGAAGCAGCCGAACAGCCTGGCCACCCGCCCGGGACGGACCCGACAGCAGCAGGAAGGGGCCGGGGGGAGCAGGAAGGGGCCAGGGAGCCCCCAACCCCGCGGTAAGGCAGCAAGGGAGCCCCAAACGTGCCCAGAGGGCCCTGMGGTGGCCTCCAAAAGGACACCAAGAGGTCCGGTGTGCCCCAAAAGGTCCCCCAGAGGTGCGGGAAGCTCCCAGGGCCACAACAGACGCACTGGGAGCACCACAAGGCACTCCGGGGGGCAGCAGTACCCCAAGGGGAAGCCCTGAAAGGCCCCTGGGGGGATGTGGGGCAGGGGGACGGCCTGTGCAGGGGTGTTTGGGGGGCAGGACTGGGGTGTTTGGGGGGGAGCCTGAGCAGAGAGTTTGTGGGGGGAGACTCCCCCATGCAAAGAGGTGGGGGGCAGAGCATCCCATGCAGGAGATACTGGGAGGCAGGACGTCTCATAGCAGGGGCTCTAGGGGAGGAAGGATCCCTCCGTGCAGGAGGCACTTGGGGGGAATGATCCCCCATGTAGGTGGCATTTGAGGGCAGGACACCCCATAGCAGGGGCTGTTTGGGGACAGGACCCCCCATTTGGGGGCAGGAC